TATTTTGGGGACAGAGAGAGACAGAGCATGAACGAGGGAGGGGCAGAGAGAGAGGGAGACACAGAATCGGAAACAGGCTCCAGGCTCTGAGCCATCAGCCCAGAGCCCGACGCGGGGCTCGAACTCACGGACCGCGAGATCGTGACCTGGCTGAAGTCGGACGCTTAACCGACTGCGCCACCCAGGCGCCCCCCTGAAAAGTATTTCTAGAAGTAATATGGGTTAAAGTCAAACACGTGCAACTGAAGACACCTTTGTCACAAGCTCACAAAGGTGCCTGCGTATGTCTTTTAGGGAGCTAATGCTCACATCTTTGGTACTGGAGAGAGGCACAGTCTATAAAAGCTTTAGCAACAAAACTATGACATTTAGAATCCAAACCTTACTATGTTGTGTGCAAATAAAAAAGACTAAAGTTACAAATCTCTATCATCTATCTAAGCAGAGGAACTGTTCTCTGAGGCAGGAAGAATGCTGTATTTTCATGTAAAGAGAACAGCTACGAAAATGTAGGAGGGGCTGTGCTAAACTAAGCCTTTTAAAATGTACCATGTGATCTCCATGAGCACTAAGAAGCCGCACCAGTAAGTGGATCATCTTAGATCACAACAGCTATGCAGGAGGAGGGGAGATGGAAACTACCCTTTGCTTTTACCACAGCCATTCCAGGGAATTAGAGTGAACTTCTTAAAGCAACCATCACAACCGCTACCATAACCCCTCCCCACCCCACAAAACCAACAAAAATCAGGAACTTCACGTGAGTAAAAATCACAAATTCCATGATTGTTAATCCTTGGATGCATTCATTTTTCAATGACCCACTTATGAACACTCTCAAGAAGTAAAAAGAGTAAATGCATTTAAAGTTCTAGGCTCTTGGTTTGTTGAGAAACTTGCAACGTTAGAAGAGAATCAAAGCATCAGGGTGTGAGTATTCTCAAGAAGTCTAGAATAAGATGGTCAACGGTGGAGTTCTTGCAATACCACTTGAGGAGTCTGGCCAATATTAAGGTTAGATAGCCTGTGTTCATAATTAAGTAATAGTGACTGAAACTGAAGGCATACATTTCCTGAAGATTAATGACCTAACAGCATTTCCTGAAGATTAATGACCAGCTAAGAGGAGGTGACTGCCTAAAGCAGTGCCTTGGGCCACTAACCCCAGCCGGTCATTAATCCCCAGGAAATGCCCTGGACCTCAAGGTTACAGTGATTTTAATAAATACAAGAGGAAAAAGTTTAATATCAGCTTTCTACAGAAACTCAACATTTGTATCATTCTTAGAATGCTCAGACCGCATAAGGTGACTTCTATAGGAATCACTAGAGTTCCCTTAAACTTCTTAATCCTGGTTAAAAACTTACTTTAACCTAAGTGAAAAGCAGGCGTGTTAATACGTGAACAACTTTTTGTAGTGTTTTAACTACAAGGAACTCAGCTATAATAATGTTTTGCATAATAACAATCAGCCAACATATGTACACTCAAATCTATTTTTAATTGTAATCTATATTTACGTGACAGTAACTCAAGAAAAATAAATGAATCAGTATTCAGGTTTATAGAACTGATTTATCTCACTCAGTTAAAACAAGACTGTGACAGAGCAACTGCATTCCTTAGACCAAAACAAAACCGACCAGAACAACTCCCTCCTCCCATCTTTTGAATCTTAACTCGAGTCTATAGGACACTGATGTCAAGAAACTAGCAGACTGACGCCAGGAGGCAAACTGTTTCATTATTATTCCAAGCAGATATATACTTTAATATTAAACTTTCTCAGGCTTTTCACTCCTCAATTAATCAGGTGCCACTCTAAACCAGGACATTTTAAGGGTCTTACTTTATCAGAAGAATGTGAACATTTATTTTTGCTCTCAAAGAAAAAGCAAACCCAAATTCTCCAAAGAAGAATTCCCCTCTCCGCCCTTACAACTCCATAAAACCACCTCCTGGTCTGTCGGAAATGTACCACGCACATAGAAGTACAGAAAGACACATAGCCGGCAGGTCTTGTGTATTTTAGAGAACTTTGCTGTTTATATTAAATTCATTCGCAGCCCCTTTCTCTGTTGGCCTTGATGATTAGCTGGTAAACCTCTGAAAGGGTCAGATTGTCCAGAACTGGAATTTCCACTTTGGAAAAAGCACAGAGGTACCTGACATCTGTTTCTTGAAGGGCCTGCACTACACCTCCAGACTTACAGTCGAAATTCCTACTTCTGCATGATGGCAGGGAGGTCAGAGTTGTAAAACCTCCAGTGGCTACTCCTGCCTGCAGAATAGAGCACAGTCCCCAAAGACCTCTCGTTTCTGGCTCCCAGAGAAGAGTATTCCAAAGATGAGTACAATTTTAGTAATATGAATATATTCCTCTAGGAAAAATAATAATAAGCATCCGTTCAAGTCCTCAATCTCAACCTAGAATTTGGTACTGCTGAGAATTAACTAATATTAATATTGAAACAGTTCCCTAATCCTTGATGAGGACTCTGAAGTCCAGAGAGGTAAACTGATTTGCCCAAAGGGCTCAGCTTCTGGGCTACAACTTCTTAACTTTGGATGTCCTTGCCACACTACTGCGCAGTTTGTCTTAATTAAATATCTATATTCTTAAGTGTTACCTGCCCCCTAGATAGTGAGCCCCATGGGGCTAGGGAGAGGCAGTGAAGTTTGTTGCCTAGGTGCTACCCACTACCGGGCAGGGAGCCTTGGCTGGTAGTGCTGATCCCCCTTCCTTCTATTAACAAGTGACTTTATTTTATGGAAAGCGCACCCCAAACATCACTTTACATTCAGCTACCTATTACAGTATAAACTGGCACTGGATTACCAATCTCTCCACTCCCCGCCCACTTACAGGAAGTGGGCTTGGCACGTTTTCTTTTTTCTTTTTTATAACCGTTTTTGTTTTAATCTTTGTAAGCTATGGCGAATATGCAAGAGTATTTTAATGGTTACTTTACTCAAATATATTTTAAGTAATTGCTTCCTTTATATGCGCGGTATTCCTACAACGTGCCTTATTAAACTCATGCATTCAATGGAGAGTCAGGCTGCCTCCAACCCTTTTGTTCTGAGAACTTTGAAGTTTTAGCCTTACAGCTCAGCACTAAATGTTAGGGACCTTGGCTTCTCAACATCTTTTAAGGTTAGGCATAAACTTTCCTGAAAAGCACAAGAGTTAAGCTCCTAAGGGTGAAATCAAATCAAACCAAATCAAATCTGATTCAGTATATTTAGTACTTTTTAAAACTCCTCCCCGCCCGTACCCAGACCTGCGTTAGCAGGAGTTAGTCCAGAAATGGTACCAAAGAAACATTTCATGCATAGAGTTTGGTTTGGTTACCTGGGTGGGGGAAACAATAGCAGGTGAAACTACTGTGGGAGAATTGGTGCTTCTGTGCCCATTGGCTTCTGGAAGAAGAGGCAGGGGGTCGTGTTTCACGGAAACCACCACCACCGCATCCACAGGCTCCGAGGGGCGAATACAAAGTCTTTTGGGGGAAGAGGGGCCGCAGATATCCCCAGACCCGAACACCGACTCGTACAGAGCGCGCTTGGGCGCAGCCTCAGATTTCACGTCGGGCCCGACCTGGCTGTCTTTGGGGAGGATATAGGTGTTCCCCAGCGAGGGCGGCTGGGGGCGGTGGTGGTGGGAGGGATGGGTGGGGGGGTGGTGGGAGTGGTGGCGAGCCGCCCCGTTTAGAGCCTCCGCGTAGCAGCCCTGCGGGGCGGGCGAGCCCAGTTTGGTGCCGATGCCCGCGATGCTGTTGAGCGTGGCGATGGAGACGGCGCCGATGCAGTGGTTGGTGTAGGTCTTGGAGAGCTTGGCCGCCTTCGAGAGCATCTGCATCCTGGTGCCCAGCAAGTTCTTGCCGATGGCTTTGTTCTCGTACCAGGTCACATCGCCCTCGCTGCAGTGGTCCCGGGGCCGCTGGAAGAACGCCTTGCAGAGGGGGTTGCGCTTCGACAGGTACTTGACGAAGCTGGCGTAGGGGCAGAACTCGGTGCCCGTCTCGTACATGCGGGGCAAGTTCTCCTCGTCGCTGCTCTCGGCACGCTTCTTGCTCCACGACGACGAGCGCGACTTATGGTAAGGCCCGAGGGACTTAAAGTAGACGAACTTGCGGCCGTCCTCATCCATAGCCAGCCCAAAGGAGTCCTCCTCCAGCTCGCGCTGGTTCTCGCGGCCGCGCGTGCAGAAGTACATGCAAGTCTCGAACCAGACCTTGTTGAGCAGCCCGAAGGGCGTGTTGGTGCTGAAGACGCTGGAGGTGTAGAGCTTGCGCAGGTCGGCACGCGTGATGGCTTGCTTCTGCACCACGGGCCCGGCGCCCTGCTCCTCGAGCTTGCGGATGACCGCAGCCAGCGTCAGGTTGGCGCTGCGCAGCTCGGGGTCCTTGGTGAGGTCGAGCGTGCGGCAGTACGGGGGCTCGTTGAGGTAGCGGTTGAGGGAGCTGCGGATGCTGATGAGCGACGACTTGCTGTAGAGCTGGCCGCTCTTGGAGCGGGCCTCGGCGTAGAAGGAGCGCAGCACGCGGCACAGCGCCCCCTTGTCCATGGTCTCGAAGTCCGGGCTCTGCGCCTTCTCGCTCAGGTACTCCCGGAAGATGCGCACGGCGTAGCGGGTGGCCAGCCGGGTGTTCTCGCTCAGCCGGGCCCGCTCGGGGCGCTGCAGCACGTCGGGGTCCAGCTCGGCGCTGTCCCCGGGCGGCCCGCCGCGGGCCCGGGGCGCCAGCAGTCGCGGCGGCGCCTCGGGCTCCAGCGCGGCGCTCTGGTCCATATTGATCATATGGACCGGCTCGGGCTCTAACTCCTCCCCGGCCGAGTCCTCGGGCTCCAGGGGCTCGTCCCAGTCCAGCCCCATCTCTTCCTCCTCCTCTTCCTCCTCCTCGTCCTCCTCCAGCCCCCCACCTCCGTCCTCCTCCTCCTCGTCCCCCGTTATCTGCACCTCTTGGATCTCGTCGTCCTCCTCCTCTTCCTCCTCCTCTTCGCCCGCGCTGCAGTAGTGCGGGCGGCCGTGGCGGCGGCCGCGGCCCCCAGCACCGCGCTCGCCCTCGCCCCGCTCCCCATTGTTCTCGGCGGCGGCGGCGGCGGCGCTGGCGCTGCCGCCCGCGCTGGTGTTACAGTCCCCGCTGCCAGGCATTCTCGCCATATTGCCGTCTCTCTGCCAGTCCTCGGGCAGGGCGCATGCGCTATATTGGACCGCAGCGCTGAGAGCTTTTGTGTTTAATGACCTTCAGCTACCGGGAGGCAAAGCCGGGCTCTTAAAGGAGCCGCGATCCAATTGTCAGTTCGGAGCGCTACTCCGGAGGGGCAGCGGCGCGCAGGGGATGGAGGGGAGGGGAGGCGGGGGTAAGTTAGGCAGGGAGAGGGTAAGGACGGAGGCTGACTGGACCCTCTTCCTCCCCCACCCCTCTCCCCACTCCTAAGAAAACTTTAACGGGGGGGGGGGTGAAGAAAGGGGAGGGAGAGCTGTCGGTGGGGGTGAAACACTCCCAACTTACCCTCTGGCGGAGTGGCGCGCGGGCCCGGGCGGGAGAGAGGGAGGGCCGGCGGGAGGGCGGGGCGGTCTCGCTTCTCTAAGTAATGCCCGAGGAGCAGTGCCCCTTCCACTGCCCCCTCATTGCCCCCCGGAGCCGGGGGTTCGGGGAGGCGGCAGAGCCGGGCTGGCCGCGGGTGCTGCTCGGAGAAGCCGGGTCTGGGGCCGCCCGGAGCGGAGCAGGCAGGTTAATGAGCAGGGTGGAGGAGGCACGGCGAGGCCCCGCACCCTCTCTGCGCCCGCGGCCAGGGCGCAGCGGGCGAGGCTTGGGAGCGGGATGGGGCTGGCGGCGGCGGCTCCCCCACCTACTTGCTGGCGGCGAGGCGCGGGGGCCTGGGGCCAGCCGCACGGCTCCCAGCTCCCTTTCCGACTCTTGCAAAGGAGCGAAACACGCCCCACGTCAGCCTCATCCCTTTCGACTTTTCCAACAGCCTCTTTTAAGCTGTCATTAAAGACCCGGGGCGCTCCCCGTAGGTCTAGGGCAAGCCTGCGCCGGTCCCGCCAGCCTGGGGAAGGAGCAAGAAAGAAAGACTGGGAGGGGCGGGTGGGAGGGGAGACTCGGGGAGAGGCGCTCCGGACCCCAGGGACCCCTCCCCGCACGCTTAGGCCGCCGCCCTCCGGGCCTCGGAGCACACTGACACAACTCCCTCTGGCGAGGCGCTCCACCTGGTTGGAGCTAGAGCAATGCCGATCCCTAAGGCCCGTCGGCGGGCGGGCGGAAAAAGTGAACTTGGGTCTCGGCCGCCCCCGCCGCCGCCACAATTCCGGCAATTTGGATCCCGAGCGCGCTCTTGTTCCAAGTTTGCCAACCGCCATTCTTTCGCCCTCGGGGCTGCGCTGCCTCCGGCGCACGGGGGCGGATACCTCCGAAACTGGAAAGGCGGCCAAAGAGCTCGCCGGGTCCCGCTTTCCCATAGGAGACACTGTCCCACTTCCAGCCGAACGCCCGCCCCCGGCGCGCCCAGACTCCGGGCGCGTCGTAGCGTCCCCGCCTCCCTCTCTCCCGGCCCAGGGGCAGCGCCCCCAGAGCTGCGGGAGACCTCGGTTGTTTTCTTTGGCGGCACAACCCCTTCCATGTCGAGCTCGCACGGCATCCTAATTTTCTCCTCCTCGGGCAGCCCAAGTGTCCCCTGGCGCTCCGCCAGCTCCAAGTCCCGGGGGCTAAGGGGAACCAACGGAGACGAGTCCCAGCAGCCAGCAGCGCGACCCCAGGGCGCGCAGACCCTGCTGTGAGGCAGCCTCTCAGTCCCCTCCAGGGCGTCCTCGAATTTGCCCTCGAGACCGAATTCTAGGCACTAGGGCTGTAGACTTGTCAATTGCCGGTTCCCCCCTCCCGGACTCCCCCGTCTTGCTTTCTGGGCAGCTTATAACTTTACGCATCAATAGAAACCCATCCGTCAACTTGGAATTTAAAAAAAAAAGAAGGGAGGGGCACTAGGTCTCTGGGCCGCGTGGGCGTCTAAGTGGGAATTGACTCTCTTCTCCAGCAATGTGTTCGCCCTCCGCGTGTTTCCTCGACCCTGTACGCGGCAGAGCTTTGGGGAAATTGCGTCAGGTGTGAACAAGCTGGGGCTAGTCCGTGCCTCCCGGGCGCCCTCCCGTTCCTCGGGCAAACAGACACACGACACACGCTCTCATGCGTCCTGTTGTCCGCAGAGAACCGTCCGGGGAGGTGAGGAGTTCGGTGGTTGCACTCTTCGGGAATCATCCCCGAGGTGCTGCCGGCTTTGTCAAAAATGCTCAACGTCCCCGGAAATGTGTAGGAAGGCGTTTGTTTGTTTCCCAGAGCTCAGGGCACTAGGCAGCTAAGTTAGTTGCACGCGCGACCCGCGCACACACCAGTCGCACTGCGCTACTTCCGGACGGCTGGCCCTTTGTCCCGGGATGCTCCCAGTTTTCCGGCCGCCCGAACAATCGGTTAGGGAATTTCAGCAGTGTTGAAACCTCAGGTGGGCGCCCAGCAAGTTAACCTACCAGGGGCTGCTCTCCCGTGGCCCTCACGGCGAGCGCAGTGCGCCGAGGGGCTGAGCTGGGGACACTGGCCCACGTTCCAGCCCCGGTGCAGAGCACTTTTGCAGTCGAGCTCCCCTTCACCCCCCCCCACCCCCCACCTCCGCCAGCTCCCCTCCCAGTTGGGCGAGCTGCTTTGAATTGCTCGCAGTTTGCCGGAGGCGGTGTGCTGGGTTGGACGCTCCGGGAAACAAAGCAACCAAAAACAGCTCCCAGTTGACGTCAACTTATTTCCAGAAAAGAAAATAGTTTTGTGCTCCCAGGACAAAATACCCCCCAGGGCAGGTCTCTACCGGCAAAAGCCAGAGGGGAGAGGGCGATGGTGGGCAGTAGCAGGACCAAAAAACCCCAAGTGCAAATAAATTTTTAACGGACTTAGCAAAGCAACAGTTTCAGATGCTGCTTGAAGGGTTTGCAAACAACGGGCAGGACCCTCGCAGACCGTAGGTGTGAAAAACACACCTTGGAAAGTATGCCTTGGCCTGATTTTCTGGCAACTGTGAATCTGCTTCGTGGCACCAGCTCCTGAAAACCTACCAAAATTCTTTGCCCATTAATGATTCTTCATCAAATATTGGGAAAGACCTCTTCAGGTTAAAATCTACAGTATTTTTTAAGGAAGAACATCCAGAAAAACCCTTCTCAACCGCCACCAAAAACAAACAAACAAACAAACAAACAAACAAACAAACAAACAAGTTGCTTAATTTTTAAAACCCAGTAACACAAAACTACAGTTGAGTTTATAAAGGAGTTCAACTCCAGGTTTAGTAAATGATTCCTTAAAAACATCCTGTGGCATCATCCATTCATTCAGTACCAAACTGAGAGAATCAAAAAGGCTTTGTTATTATTCTGGTAAAGAGGCAACAGGGTCTGTCTTCTGCCTATCAGCCCAGTTGGGACTCCTCTACTTAGATTCTGCCTTATCATAAAATCCATTGAAGTCACCCACCAATTGTAACTGGATAGCTCCTTTATAAGGATGATTTCTTTATTTCTTGTGCAGAATGCATAGCTTCTTTATATCAAATTATCCCAGTATTGTATGAAACATTTATTGCAATTATTTCACTGTCAGAATTCATTACTCTAAAAGCTATGGTAAGATGTTTCTATCTTCGCCAAGATACTCCACATTTTCTATCTCTTTCATAATCATTAAAAAGTACCATCTATGTATTTGTGCTGCTCCATTTCTTAGATTACTTGCAAGTGGTGACATTATTTTGGAAGGAAAAACTCCAAATGTCTCCCCCTCATTTTACAACCCACTACTCCCATTTCATGGTCACACTTGATGAAAGGTTATATACCATATAGACACACATTCTGCTCTTCCTCCTTTTTGCTTCCGACCTACTGAGCTGCATCTATTATATCACTGGTGTAGTTGCTTTTTATCTGCCTGTTTCCTCTGCTACACTGATACACCTTTGTAGTTTAGGCTGGAGCCTGGGCCATGGTGAGAACCCCAGTCAATGAATGAAGATCTCCATTTAGTTAAGTATATATTTATTTATTTTTATTTATTTCTTAAAATATTTCTCTTTTTTAAAAAATGTTTATTTATTTCTGAGAGAGAGAGAGAGAGAGAGCAAGGCAGACAGAGGATCCAAAGCAGGCTCCACATTGACAGCAGAGAGCCTGACGTGGGACTTGAACCCACAAGCCATGAAGATCACAACCTGAGCTGAAACCAAGAGTGTGATGCTTAAATGACTGAGCCACCCAGATGCCCCTAGTTAAATCCATATTTAGCAAGAAACTTCTTGGTAAAAAATCTTAAAATATCATGGATCTGAATTTCTACATTAAAAATCAGGACGAGGGGCGCCTGGGTGGCTCAGTCAGTTGAGTGTCTGAACGGCTCAGGTCATAATCTCACGGTTCGTGGCTTCAAACCCCGTGTCGGGCTCTGTGCTGACAGCTCAGAGCCTGGAGCCTGCTTCCCATTCTGTGTCTCCCTCTCTCTCTGCCCCTCCCTCGCTCATGCTCTGTCTCTGTCTGCCTCTCAAAAATAAAGAAACATAATAAAATTTTTTTTTTTTTCAAAAAAATCAGGACGAAACAGCAACTGCAAGGAAACATTATTATTTGCAACTTAAAATATATGTGAAGACTGCTCTGGTTTAATGTTTTCCTGCCATAATTTACCCTCTGGTACAAACATACTGTAGGAAGTTATTGCAGAAGTAGAGTGAGGAATGGAGGTATCCATGTATTAAAAGAGGTGGATTGGGAGGATTTAAATTGATAAATTCAAGAAGTTTTGTGGGCTCTTGGAGGCAGAGACCAGAAAAAGCATTTAGTTCATTACTCTCAAGCCATGCTTTCTTGATTTGATTCCTTAACAATTCATAAAATACTATGGAGTTTAAATAGTAATTCAAATTGAAGCCATTCTGATATATCCTTGTTTCAAAATTTCACCGTTAATTTCTGTTGAATTCACTTGAAAATCATCTTGAGCAATATGTTTTGAACTCAAATGAAACAAGGACCCGTGTACTCTAACTCTACAAAGTGGAAGAAAAGAAAACTCCACAAGAGCACAGAAACTATGTCTTTTTTCTTCCTGCATCTCTGGTTCATTTTCAATACAGTTCCTTAGCATATTTTAGCAGAGTGGTTGGCGCATAGTAGACATTCAGTAAACACACAAATATTTATACGTGGGGAGAAAGCTAACCTCAACAAAAGGTTGTGGTGCGGAGTGGTTAAAACTTCATCTTTGAAACAGGACTGCATGGGTTTGAATCCTAGTTTGGCCTTCCCAGTTGCCTTTAAATTTTTTTTTACTATTTTTGAAGATTCTCCTTCTTTTACATAATCTCTACACCCAACGTGGAGCTCGGGCCTACAACCAACCCTGAGATCAGGAGTCGCATGTTCTACCCACTGAGCCAGCCAGGTGCCCCATCTAGTTGCCTTT